TTTGTATATAACTTATCATTTTATAAGTGTACATCTTGTTATATCTTGAGTCTTATGAGAAGGTTTCGCAAACTGCAGCTCGTGGCAAATCCCCTTCGATTCATCTGCATAATGACCATAGATTTCACATGGCAGAGGAAGCCACGTGTCTGGACTCTGATTGTCTTGCTCCCGCCTCTCCCTCAGAAGAGACAGCTCGCCGGAGCCGCGTCCGGGCCGCACCGTGGACCTGCGGGCGGGGGACACTTCGCCTGGACTCAAGCACGACGACACCCAGGTCTAAGTGGGCGGCCGTCGCACGTACGCCCGCAAGTGCCAGGTCTCGCCAGCAACGGTCGGCGACTGTCAACCGGCCGCTGGTCCGTGGTCGCCATTTGCCGGTCGCCGCTCATGGGCGTCGGCCACAGGTGTCATGGAATTAATTAGCTGTTGTAAGTCGTATGTTCGTCTCTTTGTGTTTCGGGTTGTGTATCACCCACCTTCTGCCAGTGAGAGGCGCCTGTGTTAGCTGTACGACGAGAAGTTTCCGTCTCTTTATGGCAGAAATATGTACTGATTATTTTCTCTGATAAAAATAAATAAATAAAAAAACAGACAATATGCATGTCCAAATTCTAAGCCATTTGATTTTTGAAGTAGATATTTTATATATCGTAATTCGTCATTTTTACAAAATAGACTGATAACTCTTCTCTGAATGTGTTGTTATTATAGTGGATAACAAAATCTTTTATACGGTTTTAGAGAATAATTTTTTTTTCCTTTTTATATGAGTACACTTCTGTCTCTGTCTGTTGTTATGTTGATTGATTGTTCTTGTAAAGTCTTTCAGAATTAGCGTAATATTAGCGTAGGGCAACCAAGACTAGTTTATAAAACTAATACTAAAAGATAAGTTTGTGACTTTCAGATACGAATAAATGTTGCTTAGTATTTTATAAGGTGTATGTTATGAGAGCATGTGATGTTTATTTTATATATGATAACGCACTACCGTAGTTTTTGATTGTTAGTAAGGGAAGTAAGTCCCAACAAGAATTCAAATTTATTCAATTAATATGGAAAATAAATTAACGGGAACTCTTTTTCATCCTCGTAACTCGCCATGAGTTTGTTGTGTCAACCGAGCATCCTTAATTGTCGTAGCACGTGCTCCAGCTTCCTTGATTCTTGTTTATATTAAATTGCTATAGACAAACTTTCTCTTTCTGAAAAAAAAAGCTCTTCCTTGTGGCTGTTTTTTCCTTCGTCTTCTCCCTCCATAATTTGTCAGCGAGAAAGAGGATCCTGGGATGTTTTTCCCGCCATTTTGCATGCGGGAAAAATCGCTGCCACTTCAAGGGGGATTTCATTTAGTATTGTTGTTACTTAGAGATCACTGATATTACTGATACCTTAATAATTTTCATTGGCGTTATTTTGCAATTGCCATCAACATTATTATTATTATTCGCCCCGACACCCGGCGATTATTTCTTAAGGGATCCCTGCTATAAAGTTAGTGTTCTTGCGATCGTGGCCGTAATTCAAGTTTGTGACGTCACAATCAACCACGTTCTGTTTTTGCAATAAAATATCATTCTAAAACCACGTGTTTCTTTACCCTGTTGGCGAGTGCTGAGGGACCACCAGAGACCAGGGTTTCTGGAGATGAATTAATTTGTATGTCTATTAAGCATAAACTGAGCATAAAAATCCATTTTCTGAGGATGAACGAAAAAGGAAATCATGATGGTATTTGCAGGTCTCTTTATACGTTTCGCTCATGATGATAATAGATTGGCATAATGATTCGTAATAGGAATGATCATACTTTAATGACGATGATAATAATATTAGCAATAGCAATGACATGAAAATGTACTACTGCAAATAATTAGCAACTTTGCATCTTATGGCACAACACGTTGATGCGAGACAATTTCACACACAACACACACACACACACACCACACACACACACACACACACACACACGCACACACACACACACACACACACACACAACACACATATATATATATATATATATATATATATATATATATATATACAAATATAGCAACTGTGTCTGTCAGCATTCTGATTTTATTCATTTATTTCTCATCATTGTTAATCAAAGAACCGAACCAAAAACTATTTTTATCAACGCCATCTATCGTCCATCAAGGAAACATTTTAAGCTCATCCTTGCCCATGTGGTTTGGAGTTTGTTGGCTTTTGCCAAATTGCCGACAGACCCAGTTGCTATACTTGTTTAATTAACGCTGATATTGCCAATTTGTAAATTAGCAAGGTATTTTTTTTCTACAGATTATTTTATAGTTAATATCAGAGAAGAATTCTTTAAGAGTTCACTTATCAATCAATTCCAAGCACTCGGCAGTCTATGTTTACGTATAATTTGACGTGAATTTGTGTGGATTTTATTCTTGCTAGTTTCATGTGAAATCTGATTTTTTTTTTTGCCATGTCCATATTGAGATATTTGCTTGCCATCATATTTATTTCATCAGGTATAAAGACAAGCCAAAAACTTAATTTTTGGACGTGATGACATGTCTTCCCAGAAGTTACCAGTGCTCTGACCACTGGTAAACTTTACCATTTAACTCTAATGGCAAGTTGTTAATGAATACCACCGCTGTCTGTTTACGATGGTAACTATAGTTCCTAGTGATCTTACCACCGTAAAAGAGCGTAAGTAAATCTGGTCGACAGATTTCATAACCAATCCGTCTTCGGACTTCCTGGTCTGACAACCCTGAGTTATGAACTACACTACCAAGGTGTGTAAAGCTCTTTGTGACTTCCACGTCCTCACAGCAAACATGTTCCAACTGGACAGGTTCTCCTAGCAGGTCCCCAAAATTCTGGATCTTGGTCTTGGTCCAGGACACCTCTAGACCCAACGGAATGACTTCATTGCTAAGGGCATCTAGAGCGACCACTAGAGTTTCAAAAGTAAAGCCAAGGATAGTAAACTTGATTGCCTAGTTACTCCAAAATGACTAGACAGTAGCTCTGTCCAATGTCCAGTCTATGCAAGTGTTGAAGTATTGGTGCAAGGACACAGCTTTGCCTCGCTCTTGAACTAACGGGGAAGAACCTCAACAGGCCCCCGCTACACTTTACAGCACTTTCAATACCAGTATACAGGCTTGTCTTTAATCCAATCATCACTGTTGGAACTCCTTTCAATCTCAAGATCTCCGAGTGATTCCCGATACACCTATATTGAACGCTTTTTTTAAGGCCCGTGTAAGCTATGAGTAGCCCACGCCCAAACTCTGACAACATTCCACAGTGACTTGAAGCATTAGGATATGTTCTCTGGTGGATTTGCCAGGAGTGAATCCAGACTGCTCAGGTCTTTGGTACCTTAGTAGGTGGTCACGGATCCATTCCAGAATATGGGCGAAAACCTTGCCTGGTATACTGAGCAGTGTGATGCATCGGTGATTACTGCAGTCCAATCAATCCCCTTTCCCCTTCCTGAGAGGGATGGCCACACCCCTCAACAGGTCAGGTGAATGGTATCAGTCTGCCAGATGCCAGCTAGGAAAGCATGTCAACACCGTGTCATAGATTCACCACCAGCTTGGGGATCGCCCCACTCACTTCAGTTAGGGAGGGTGGATCTGGCAAAGAGATCTTGACACTACCCACATCCAAGTTAACTGTAAGTGGATCAACCTAGTACAGCTGCTCAGAATACTCAGCCTAACGCACCTGCACCCCAACAGGATCTAAGATGATCTACGATGGACTTCAGCTTTCTCAAGGTTTGGTAGGCAATATGAAGGTCACTTACTAAGAAATGGCCTTTGACCTCTTCTGCAAGACTCCTGATAAACGGTTCCTGCGCACCAAGGAACATGCAAATCGGGATTCCCTGTCAGACGAGCCTTACGACAATCATCTACGTATTGAAGTGTCTCCTGTGAGATGAAATCGTCATGCTCATGGGCATTCACCAATCAATTCCAACCTGAAGTTTGCTGGAGATGGCTGTCGAAACCCGTCAAGTTGGTGACCATTGCTTTGACTGGACCAGTAATAGGTTTAGCCACACAAAATGATAGTGCTGCAGCCAGGTCTTCTCACCTCCAAGAAAGCAGCCACCTCAACTCTCAGCCACTTCAGTTCCTTCGACAGCAGTGGCAACCAATCATCCTGACGTTCCAAGACTCCAAGGCAGCCTCGGCCAGTCATTCCGGGTGGACGCCAGTTCCGCCATCCCTATTGACGTCGCTCCATAAAGAGAGGGCCGGCTGGTCCCAAATTCCACCTGTGGGGTCCCGTGGGCTTTGCTCAATAAGCCACTGGACGGCCACTTGGAGACTAATGGGATGGTAACCTCAGTTCCCAGTCTGAGTCCCAGCAGTCACCAAGCCAGAGGGACCCACAGCATGCCTTTGTTGCTAGAACGTTTAATCCCCCCCCAGGACCAACATCTACATGTTCCACTGCCAGTTGGGTTCTCTTGGACTGACAAGGCCCGCCTCGCCACAGCCACCTAAGACTCCGAAGGGGAATGGGAGCAGGAGTTGGTACAAAGCCTGGGTGCGTCCACACGGCGGTAGGCCATGGCTCTACCTTTAGGGCCTCCTGCTACTCCAAGAGGCTCTGCATATGTTATATGTTTATCAGGTATATTAGGAAGAGACAACACATTTATTGGGTTAAGTGAAACAGGGATTGAGAGCGCGTTCTCTGTCAGAATAGAGCATCCTTTTCCAATATTTCTCCAGTGGTCGTTTCCTCTTCTTGATACTTTCCTTTCGGTGTTTCAACTGTACATAACGAAAGATTTACCAAACATTTTTGACAGATGTATCACCATCTTTAATGATATCTTTCCTGAAACCGGTTTGGAGTCCACCATAAAAAAATAGTTAAACTGCGCACGCTTACTGCAAACTAGTTTCCGCAATACGGGACTACTTTCTGGGAATGCACTGAGCCCAAGCGTATAATACGTTAATCCATTCGCTCCCTGATAAACTCCACGTAGCTCTGACACACATCTAACATGAGTGTGTGAGGAGGCACGTCGCCCAATCTCTGCTCTTACACCATGACATCTCCGAATCTTAAGGAGTTAGATAGCCGCAAGGTCTAGATTCCTCGATAGGGATATCTGCTATCGACATAGGGCAGAGACGGCCATACAAATACAGAATCCAGAGACAGTAAACATACCTATTTCTATATATGACACGTACATAGGATAGATCAAATGCATATAATTCTCCATCCCGTTATCAGCATACCACCCCCTCCTTCATATCCCTTATCTATTTACATTTTCGAACTATCAGATCCTCCCTTTTCCTGTCTCCTCCTCTATATCAGCTGATAACCGTTTGGTGTACTTTAATAGAGTAACATTTAAACGTGATCAAATCTTTAACTTATGAATTAAACTTAAAATTACAGCTCATATTTCAACATAGCATTTTAATTCACCCTTTGAATGTCCTTAACAAATGTGACATTTTTAAATATCTAATAACAACTAAAGGCAAAGGTTACAACATATGCTGTCTTAAACCAGAAATGCATGAATTTTGATTACATAACTAGTAACTACTACTATTTAAGCAGCTAACTTAGTGTTTATCATTTGTTTTCCAATATTATTTTCTGGCTAAATAATGTACATTTTTAAAATGGCCGAACTTGTCAATTTTTTTATATAAATACATAAGTAATATCTAACACACATATACAATTATTGAAAAGGCCGAACGTCATCTTTTTATATAAATACATAAGTAATCTCCAACACACATGTACAATTATTGAGGAAATCGCCAGTAAAGGTATACATGTCTATATCTATGTATCCACACATGTGTCAGTGTGTTCGACTGCCTTTAGACGCCCGAGCCCGGAAGACATCCAACCCAATAGCCTGTGTATCTTATCTCACTCCTTATCTCCCCAAAAATCTCCCCCAAAAGCCCTGCCGAGGCATTTTCCCTTCCTCTAGCGATTTCAGGAGGTTTTGCGACCAACCGGCTGCTGGGCCCGTGGGAGGTTAGGTGCGCGGGCGAGGAATGGCGGCGGGTGGCTCGGAGTTGGCGAGAAATGGCGCCAAACAGCCGGACAAGGAGGACGACGCCGAGGGAATGGCGTCACTCGCATGTTTGGGCCATATATATGTATGTATGTATGATATGTATATATATATATATATATATATATATATATATGTGTGTGTGTTGTGTGTGTGTGTGTGTGTGTGTGTGTGTGTGTGTGTGTGTGTGTGTGTGTGTGTGTGTGTGTGTGAGTGTGTGTGTATATATATATATATATATAAAAACACAAAAACGTATATATATATAATACTAGATGAAAATGCCGAGGAAACACACACACACACACACACACACACACACACACACACACACACACACACACACACACACACATATATATATATATATATATATATATATATATATATATATATATATATATATATATATATATATATATATGTAAACATACACACACGTGTGTTTGTATTTGTATATTAGTTTATAGGTACATGTATATGTACAGCTCTGCGCGCACAC